TTCTTCAGAGATTTGAAGTTCTTGTCATGTCATTCACTTGCTTGGTTAGAATTAAACCAAGATACTTTATATTATTTGCTATTGTGGTTTTCCTAATTTCTTTCTTAGCTTGTTTGTTGTTTGTACAGGAGGGCTATTTATTTTTCTTTTCCTTCCTTCCTTTCCTTCCTTCCTTCCTTCTTCTTTCTTTCTCTCTTCTTCTTCTTCCTTTTTTTTTTTTTTTTTTTTTGAGTGAATATTGTATCTAGCCACTTTGCTGAAGGTCTCTATCAGCTGTAGGTCTTCTCTGGTAAACTTTTGGGGTCATTTAAAGAAACTATAATATCATCTGGAAATAGCGATATTTTGGCCTCTTCCTTTCCAATCTGTATCCCTTTGATCTCCTTTAGGTCTTATTTCTCTAGTTAGGACTTCTAGTACTATATTAAAGAGATAAGGAGAGAGTGAGAAGCCTTGTCTTGTCCCTGATTTTAGTGGAATTGCTTTAGTAAGTTTTTCTCCGGTTTGCTGTAGATTGTCTTTGTTGTGTTTAGTTATGTACCTTGTATCCCTGATCTTTCCAAGTCTTTTAACATGGGGGTGTTGGATTTTTGTCAAATGCCATGAGTTGATCAAGTGTTTTGTTTTGTTTTCTGTTTGTTTATGGTGGATTACATTGATGGATTTTTCTATATTGAATCACCCCTGCATGCCTGGGATGAAGCCTGCTTGATTATGGTGGATGATATTTTTGATGTGTTCTTGGATTCGCTTTGAGTATTTTATTGAGTACTTTTGCATCAGTTTCTTCAAGTGTATATCTTCTATACCTGAAATTATCTCCTCCATCTCTTGTATTCTGTTGGTGATGTGTACTTCTGTAGTTCCTGTTCTCTTCCCTAAGCTTTCCATCTCTAGAATTTTCTCAACTTATGCTTTCTTTATTGACTCTGTTTCCATTTTCAGGTCTTGAACTGTTTTATTCATTTCTTTCATCTGTTTGATTGTATTTTCCAGTATTTCTTTGAGGGATTTATTTAGTTTTTTCATCCTCCAGGCCTCTATCTTCTGCATAAGGTCATTTTCTTGTGTTTCACTTGTGTTAGAATATCCAGGGCTTGCTGTATTAGGATAGCTAGGTTCTGTTGATGCTATATTACCCTGGTTTAGGGCAGGGGATTACGTTGTGGTTGTCTAACCTGCGTGATCCTAAGGTCTGGCAGGTCTCCCCAGTATGGCTAATAATAGAGCCTTGAACCTTAGGCTGGATCTGTACTTCCGTGGAATCCGGAATCATATCTGGATGGCGGGAATAGTCTGGAGGTCTGAGGCTGGAACCCTGTGTGTCTGGCAGCTAGGATCTCTCCTCTCTCTGGGGAAACACAATGGATGTTGGCATTTCGGAGTCAGCAGCAGGGGCGTTTGCTCACTCTGCACAGTCTCTGTGATCCCAGTGCTTTGGTTCCTCAGACTCTGTGTGCACTACAGCACAGTCTTATGGAGGCATTTTCTAAAATATTTATTTATTTATTACAATTTATTCACTTTGTATCTCCGCTTCAGCCCCCTCCCTTGTCTTTTCCCAGTCTCACCCACCCTCCTTTTTTTTCCCCCTATGCCCTTTCCCTAGTCCCCTGATAGAGGAGGACTCCTCCCCTTTTATCTGACCCTAGCCTATCAGGTCTCATCAAGATTGGCTATATCATTTTCATCAAGATTGGCTGTATCATCTTCCTCTGTGGCCTGGTAAGGCTTCACCCCCCAGGGGGAGGTGATCAAAGAGCAAGCTACTGAGTCCTTGTCAGAGACAGCCCCAGTATCCCTCACTAGGGAACCTACTTGGAAACAGCAGACTATGGGCTTCCTCTGAACAGGGGGTCTAGGTCCTCTCCATGCATGGCCCTTGTTTGCAGTATCTGTCTCTGCATGCCCCTCTTGGGCCCAGGTCTTTTGGCTCTGTTGTTCTCCTTGTGGAGTTCCTATCCTCTCCAGGTCTTTCTGTCTCCCTCTTCCATAAGTTTTCTGGCACTCTGCCCAAAGTTTGGCTATGAGTCTTAGTATCACCTTTGATATCCTGATGGATAGAGTCTTTCAGAGGTCTTCTGTTGAAGGCTCCAGTCCCGTTACTTATCCTCTCCTATTTCTGATGTCTATCACTTTTGTCCTGAATGAGGATTAAGCCTCTTCCCTAAGGTCCTCCTTGTTGTTTAGTTCTTTAGGACTATAGATTTTAGTATGTTTATCCTATATTATATGGCTAATATCTACTTATAAGTGAGGAGGCATTTTCTTAATTGACATTCCCTCCTCTCAGATGACTGTTGCTTGTGTCAAGTTGACAAAACTATCCAGCACAGTGAATTTGCTTATATGCACACCCAATTTTTCCTAGCCATTGGGTGGTAAATAGGGGATTCGTTAGAGTTCACTGGAAGCACAGTTTGCTTTATTGTGTATGTACCCAAAACTAGTTAAGGAGGGGTTGGGCCCTACCTTCTATACCAGATATGTTCTGAAAAAACACATTCCAGTAGTAATTAATTATGTTTGATGGTCATTATGGGGAGGAGAAACGTATTCATTGTTCATGGGAGTGTGTGTGTTCGTGTGTGTGTGTGTGTGTGTGTGTGTGTGTGTGTGTGTGTGTGTGTAGGTTGCTAACAAGGTGCTTGTTGTATTGTTAAGATATGGGCATGTATGCATTGTATGCATAGGTGAGGGTCTAAGGTTGCCAAGTTCATTGTTAGGAAAATCTCTGTGTATAACCTAAAACAAACAAAATTTCAGATTGCCAAGTTACTCCACATACTCAACTGCCTCAGTTTAATGCATATATATTTTAAATGTATTCTATTGGTAGTTTTTGTTGTTTTGTTTTTTTGCTTTACTCTGTTTGATATTATTAAGACTACTTTAGCTTTCTTCTTCTTACTGTTGTGCTCTATTTTCCTTATTTCTTTCTACCTTTTTTTAGATTTACTTATTATGTATACAATGTTCTGTCTGCATGTACACCTGCACACCAGCAGAGGGCACCATATCTCATTATAAGTGGTGGTGAGCCACAATGTGGTTGCTGGGAATTAGACTCATGACCTCTGGAAGAGCAGCCATGCTCTTAACCTCTGAGCAATCTCTCCAGCCCCTCCACCTTTTTTGTGACTGAAATATTTACCTTAGACGGAACTGGAACTTATTGTGTAGATCAGGATACTCTTGAATTCTCAGCCTCTTACATGCTGGTATTATAGGCTGAACTACCATCCCCTGTTTTAAACTTGTATTTTTAAATCTAAGACAAGTCTCAGGAAAATAACAAATTATTGGGTATTGCTCTATCTACTCCTGTACTTTTGATATAGTTGAATTTGATATTTTTTGTTTTCTATTCCCTTTTCTGATTTATCCTCATGTTTCTATTAAGAGGGTTTATTAATTAATAAATAATAATAATAGTTATTATTATTATCATTATTTTCTCTTGGTGTTTTGAGACAGGGTTTCTTGGTGTAATAGCCCTGGCTGTCCTAGAATGACTCTGTAGACCAGGCTGGTCTTGAACTCACAGAGATCCCCCTGCTTCTGCTTCCCAAGTGCTGGAATTATAGGAGTGTACCATCATGGCTTGGCTATGAGGATTCATTTTTATATACCATAATGTCTTTATACAATTATTCACCATTTGTGGGGGATCAGTTTCTCTAAGGAAATACTTACTTGGGGACAAGAGTGTGGCATGCTTCTCTTTGAGTGACATCATTACATCATATAGGAGTAGGCTACTGTACTTTTGTCTTTCCCACTGTTCTCCCACAGAGTTAAGGTCCTTAGTGTGCCAGTTGAGGGATCCCACTATGGAGTGGGAACTCTGGGAAGGAAAAGTACATTATCCTAAGGTGAACCTGCCCTCCTGTGTATGGTCCCTTACCAGATCCTTAATCCAGCCAATGGAATTATCTCTTAAGGGACAATGGCATGTCTTTAAGGAAGATTCTATTCTTTATTATTACAATGACATGCTTGGTATGTTTTGGATTTTGGAGCATATTGAATGCTTTCATAATTTCAGGATGAAGGTGTTCTCAAATGGTCTAGGCAGATACTCTAAAATTCTGATATTGGTATTTTTGATGAGGTATGCTCAGTAGGTATGACATGTCTTCTGGGGGGTTTTCTGTTCTATTTGTTTGGTCAGCTTATGTAGTATTATGCTGTTCCTATACCATCTTTAAAATTTATTCTATGTGTATGATTGTTTTCCTGTATGTATGTCTATGCACCGCTTGTGTGCAGTGTCTTTGGAGGCCCGAAGAGGGCATCATTTCCCTGGAACTGGAGTTGAGGAGAGGGTTATAGACCTCCATATGGGTGCTGGGAACAGAATGCCAGTCCTCTGCAAGATCAGCAAGTATTGGTGCGCCACCTCTCCAGCCCCCTGTCCATCTTAATATAGTAGTGTAGTGTCAGCATCATAAAGGAAAAGTATGTTGCCTATTTCACAAGTATCTTTTCATATATATGCTTTGATTTAAAAAAATACTTTGTATAGTTGTGCATTTATTTGTGTGTGTGTGTAGTTTTTTTTTTTTTTTTTTTTTTTTGGAGACAGTGTTTCTTTTTGTAGCCTTGGCTGTTCTGGACTCAGTTTGTAGACCAGGCACAGAGATCTGTCTGCTTCTGCCTCCATGAGTGCTGGGATTACAGGTGTGCACCACTACACCAGGCTAGATATATTTTTTTAAGACAGGCTCTCACCCAAATTTGGCCTTGCTCCTGTATTCCCCTTGGCTCAGCTTTGTAGTCCTGGAATTACAGGTGTGTGCTGCATGCTCATCTTAAAAATCTTTGAATGAAAACATTTTATCATCTTATAGTAATTAGTGAACATGGAGCTCATTATATGTTAGATATATATTCTGAGCATCTCTCAATGTTGAATGGGAAACGGAAATATGTGATGCTTGATGCTTGTGTTTTATTTATCAGCTTCAGAGTCACCGTTGCTTTTCTTTTAATTATAGGAACAGTTTTGATCAAAAGTAACAGTGGTCAGTTGATGCTGGTATCTCCTCAGCAAGCTGTAACAGGAGCTAAGACCTCAAGTAACATAACTCCAAGGCCAGCAGTACCGGCAAACACTCAAACAGTCAAGATCTGTACAGTGCCGGTAATCTCTCTTAATCTACTTACTTTTCAGCCACTATCTTCATTTAAACATGTATATGTTTGCCAGTAAAAATTTAAGATAATTTTGCTCAATTTTAATATCAAATTATACCTTTATACTCAGTGATTTTATTGTACTCAAAGGAAATGTTGAAAAGGGGCAGTGTGTATGTGTTGAAAGAATATACCCATTCTGAGTCAGGGTTTTGGAATGTGTGTGTGTGGTTGTGTGCGTGCATGTGTGTTTCTATAAGTATGCAGACCAGAGGCTGATACTCACTGGGTATCTCCCTCAGTTGTGCTTTAGGTTTTTTGTTGTTGTTGTTTTGGTTTGAGACAGGTAGATTAGATTGGATGATCAGCAACCCCACAGGACATTTCTGTCATTGCCTCTCCAAGAATCCCCTACCTGTTTTGTTTGTTTGTTTTATTTTTTACACTTTGTTGGGGGTCTGAACTCAGGTCTTCATGCTTATTAAAAAAGCACTTTACTGAGTGAGTCATCTTTTCATCTCTGTTTTACTTTAAATTTATGGTTATTCCGATTTAAAGTATTCATTTTCTTCCATATATTATAGAAATTACTTCTAAGTAATACAAGAATCTGCCTTAATATTTCATTAGTTTTGCCTTGTTGGAAGTGACTTTTTTGTAAATGTTGATCTTTTTATGTCACTGAAATTTAGTTTGTGTCATTTTAAAATACATTCTTAATTTAACTAGAAAATGTTGGTGTTGGGGAGATATTTTGGCTGGTAAAGTACTTGTAGCCCAAGCTTGAGGATTTGAGTTTGATCTCCAACACTTACTATATACCAGGTACAAAGGTAAAAGCACTTGTAATTATAGCACTGAAATCAAGAGGATTCCCAGGGCTTGCTAGCCTGCTGGTGGAGTCAAATTCAAGAGCTTCAGGTTCAGTGAGAGAGAAAGAGAGAAAGAATAATTGAGGTAGATATCCAGTGTCAAAGGTTGATTGCCTTCCTCCCTCTCTCCATGTTCTTTTTTCCTCTCTTTTCTCCTTTTATCTTTATTATTACATTTATTTCTTTGTTTTTTGTGTGTATGTATAGTGGGGTAGTATGCTGTGGCTATACTTGTGGAAGGAGGACAGAGGGCAACTTTCAGAAGTTAATTCTCTCCTACCTGGATGGAGCACAGCCCTTTGTGCCATCTTGCTTGTCCTACTTCCAATTATGATACTAGTTGCTCAATTAGTTATTTTCTCTGTCAGTAGGGCATTTTTCCTCTAATTTGGTTTTGCTATGGGTTAACAGATTTTTGTTTATAATTAAATTTAGATAAGAGTATGTTTTCTGTATGACAAATCAAGTTTAAGGTTTAATTTTTTATTTTCTTATTGTGTGTATGATATATGTGTATGACTATGGGTGCACACACATGCTACAGTGTTCAAGGGGAGGGCAGAGGACAACCTTTAGGACTCAGTTCTGTCTTTTTACCATGGGGTTCCGGGAATCATGATTATTGTCAGGCTAGTATGGTAAGAGCTTTTATTCTCTGAGCTGTCTTGCTGGACCAAGTTTAAGATTTTATTGCTGAATGTTGTAGAACTAACTTAATTGGAGAATTAACATAAAAGAAAAGGTTATTTTATGGATCAGTTGCTTCCTTTAAGAAATGTCTACTAACCAACTGATCAGTTAAGTTTATGGTATAGAATGTTCATAAGATACAGTATATGCCAAATAAGTTTGCTTAAAGTCTTTTCATTTTGTTTACAATACTGGTTGATTTAAAATGACTAATATTCACTGGGTTTGGTGACACGTTCCAAAGGCAGAAACAGGCAGAACTTTGTTAGTTCCAGAATGGTTGGTCTATGTGTTGAGATCTAGACCAGACAAGTCTGTATAGTAAGACTCTTAAAAATAATAAGTAAGTAGGCAAAGTGACTAACACTGATAACTGTGTCATCTTGTCCTTTTTTCCAAGAATTCTAGCTCACAATTAATGAAGAAAGTAACAGTGGCACCTGTTAAAAATTTGGCACCGATAGGAACTAGTGTGTCAACTACTGCCTCTAGTGCTTCCTCGGGACAAGTAAGTGGTGTGTGTGTGTGTGTGTGTGTGTGTGTGTACACTGGGTGTTTTCTCATTATTACTCAATTATTTCTTGCTAGATATTTAAGCATGTATGTGATGTTGAAGGCATATAATATATTGTGTTGCTTATCAGTCTGTGAACTGTTGAAGTAGAAATAAAACATAATGTCTACTGTTATTAGACATTCCTTGCATAATGCATTAAAGTTATATAAATACACCTAATAACCATGTATTGCAGTCTTCAGAAGGAGTTGCTAAAGTAGAATTTGGTGGATAAGTTATTAGGAATCAATACCTGTCAAGGAAGGAGATTAAGTTTGATCTAGATTCAGGAGTGATAAAATTTCAGCCAACCTAATAGAGAACACTGGAACATATGTACTTTTTCAGCATTGTCCTACTGTGAGCTAATAGAGTCTTCTGGGCTTTCTTGGACTCCCTGGGGAAGTTGTACTTTTGTGCAAAGTCTCTTCTTTGCAACAGTGACCAAAGTAAAGGAACTGATAGCTGAAAGTCATCCAATAGCATTCTAGCAGGACGGTACAAATTTCTGCTTGCAGTGGTTCATTGAAATTTACATCTTATGTCGCTTGATATATACTTCTCATACATGTTATAGACAACTGTCATACATGTTATAGTCAACTGTTCTGGGGTGCTAGTGGGCTTTTCTGGAGAAACAGAGGTTAAAAGATGGATTATATAGCCTTTCTTCTGCAGCTGATACTAAATCATGTCAGCATCCCTCTGTCTGTATTACTCTCATTCTTACATGTTAGCTATGCTGTTCTTGGGAGTTGCCTACTGGTAGACTTTCCTCTCTTAGAGATTTCTGTGGACTATATGTTTCTGCCCTTTCGTGGGTTTCTGCTGTTTTCCACTCATAACAGAATAGCACAAGCACAGATTGAGTAATTGGTAATGAATAGACGTTTGTGTGACTCATGATTCTGGAGTTGGAAGTCTAAGATCATGGTGTCAGTATATAGGAGAGCCTTATTCTATGGCAGATATATCATATAGCAAGAAACCATGGTGCCCCTGGAGAAAGAGGAGGGGAGTGATGGGAGCTGAACTTAACTTTTTATTAGGCTACTTCTCATTCATAGAATAAATAGCATCCTTGATCCATTTACAATCTACTCATGCCCTGATCGCTTCTTAAAGGTCTGATTTCTTGATACCAGTATAATGGCAATTATATTTCAACGTAAATTTTGGAAGGGATATTCAAACCGTAGGGTCCTATATTATGTGTTAGCAACTCTCCATCTTTTAGATGATGAGAATTAATCAGCTCTCTCAAGGTTCAGACTCGTTCTGCTGGCCTGTGGACATAGGCACCTGAAGTACCAGATGGCAGCTATAGTATCTGGTCTCTTAAGGGAATATGTCCCCCGTGAATAGAAATTGAAAACACAGATTCCCCCAGTGGTTATTGGAAATAAATACGGGTCTACTCATACATCTGCTCCTAAGTTTCTTGTCCTGTGGGGACAAAGTACCATACAAAATATTTTGACTTAGTGATTATACTGAGTCTTGGAGGATAGGATCCCATCCTTAATAAGAGTGTTTCCTCAGTTTATCTGTGCCTGCTGTAGTCTGATCTAATACTCTGCTATGGTGGCAGCTTCTAAGGAATGCTGTGTGTGAGCCCCTAGTGGATCCCATGGTCTGCGGAACAGTGTTATGTCTCCTTTTGTCATCTTCTTGGTGCTTACTTAAATAAAATACTGTACTGGTAGATCAGTCTCTTGGTGTTCTAAATTCTATCTGGTCACTCTTTTTACATATATTCTTTTCTGCTAATTGGGGTCATAAGCAATAAGTCTGGCTTAAAAAATAGTGTTTTAAAAAACAATGGCTAGCCTTTATTCAGCATTTAGTGCTCTTTATGCTTCGTAGGTATTTTTCATACCTTGTAATCCATCAATTACCTTGTTTCATCCTTGTTAATAAAAGTATTATTTCCATCTATATATGTGATAGTGAGTTAGTGAGGCTAAGAAACTGTTCTGATTTCTATTAATATGTGGAATCTAGTGGGGATTTTAGCCTCAGTGTGTTAACTTAAACTTTTTAAACTAGAGTACTGGTTAGGCCTGACTCTACATTCTCTCTACAAAGTATCTATTTTCTTATTAATTGGTATCATTATTTGTTTAAAATGACTTGGGAAACATGTCTTATTTTTGTAAATATGACATAAAACTACTTTTGAAACCTTGTATTCTGTGTTAGTGCATGTTTAATGATGAAGATATAGTTAGGCCTGTTGTTAACATAAATGTCTAAATGATTTAATTTAAAATTAGTATTTTTAATTGAATATGAACAAGCATAATTCTCAGGCAGCTACAAAAAGACCTGCTTGAAATGCAGCATGATCTAGTAGAGTGTCCATAGCTGATATTCACACAGATGTGTCTCACATATAACGCAGCCCTTTTCTCTACTGTTTCTAAGATATGTTTAATTGATGCAATTCAATTTTGCTAATATTGAAAATACCACTGACTAGTCTAGAAAATCTGAGTCTAAGGAAGAGTTATGATTGAGTTTAAGAAAGTTCATTCAATAAACTGCAGTGCAAACACCAGCGTTATTCCTTAAAGGCAGCATAGAAGTTATATATATTTGGTAAAGTTCAGATAGAAGCTTATTTTAGAAAGGATTATGAAAGACAGCTTTGTATTGGAGAATGTTATTTTTTCATCATTTTAACAAATAACTGAGATAAATCAACTTGAAAAGTTTATTTTGTCTCACAAGTTTTGTAGATTTTAGTCCATTACCTATTGGTCCTGTACAGTGGCACAGTACAAATCATATATATGATACAGGAGGCAGTTTATTGTAAACTACAGGAAGCCAAAGACAGGAATAAGGGACTACCAGTAATAGCTCCTGCAATGGCACAGCTCTAATGACTGGGTTCCATTAACTTTATTTTTCCTCAATGTTCTATCATTACATAGTAATACCATGGGGCTAGGCCACAAGCTTTAGAATACAGGCCTTTGGAGATGATTTCAGATTCAAACTGGAACATGCTGAAAGAATAAAATATGGACAAGGAAGTAAGATGGTATGAGTACTTTTCTCAGAGACAGCAGAACACTTGGTGAGCTTACATTTCACTGCATACTGTTTGCTTCATACACAGTATGCAGTACTATTCTGAGTAATCACTCCCACCAGGTATTGAAGACCATTGTAATCACTAGTTAAAATTACATACTACACTTTTCTAAGATTATATGGCCACGTATAAGATGGGTTTTCTGAAGTTTTATAATTATTATTAATTTTGAAATAAGGTCTCATGTAATTCAGGCTTACCTTAAACTTAGTATGTAGCTGAGGTTGACCTTAAACTAATGATTCTCTTATTTCTACCTCCATGTGCCAGAATTCCAGATATGTGAAACATTTTTTATTTCTGAAGGGGCTTCCTTACTGTTGTAAACATAAACTTTTAAGAGTCTTCAGAAGGGTTGGAGAGATGGCTTAGTGGTTGAGAGTATTGTTTGCTTTTCCAGATCAATTCCCAGCAACCACATGGCAGTTCACAATTGTCTGTAACTCCAAGATCTGACACGCTCACACAGACACACATGCAAGCTAAACACCAGTGCACATAAAATAAAAATAAATTACCAAAAAAAAAAAGTCTTCAGAAGAATTCACAAGCCATGTGATAGGACTTGTCTCTGGAAAATGTAAAAGGGTTCAGGTATATGGATGCTTTGCCTGAATGTATGTGTCTGTGACAATTTTGAGCCACCTTGTAAGTGCTAGGAACTGAACCCCAGGTCCTCTGGAAGAACAGCAAGTGGTCCTACTCACTGAGCTGTATCTCCAGCCCTTAGTTTTAACTCTTCTGCTCAGGATTTCATCATCAGTTTCTAGTCATCATTCATCAGCATTTTAAGTTTACTATCTATTTTACTGAACATTTTATCTGATATATGTACCAGTTTCTCTGAAGGGAAAATTTGTGTCCATTTACCTGTATTTACTTGTAAAGAAAAAAAACTTCTCTTGAAGGAGAACACAAGCATCTCAGTTAAAGTAGTGTTTTAATGTTTAGTCTTTTCAGTGCATACTACTCATCCTACCCCATTTTACTTATACTATAACTTTTAGTATATTTGTTGCTTTATCTCTGTGGTTTTCTAATTTCGTACCAGTGCTTATACTTTTGTGTTAAGCTTTCTGTCCTACAGGTGGTGCTAGAGTCACACTACCTCATTCTGATACATACAGAAATTAATGAAATTCCTTTTAGTGTGGAAATGAAACATCTCTCTCATAATGCTATTGTACTTATTCTAATGGAATATATAAGGTTAGTGTAGCTGAGTATATAAAAATTAATTGATAACTGTTTTAGACTTAAAGAATGGGAAAGTTTATAAAAAGTACGAAGACTTGCTATTACAAATATATTTTTAAACATCTCTCTCTGTGATCTTGTATACTCACTTATGTATACATGTGTGTTAATTGCTCTGTACCATACTATTTTAAAAAGGGTTTCTCACTAAACCTGTTGCTTGCTATTTGGCCTGGAGTGGCTGTGCAGTGAGGAATGCTTCACCCTGAGATTTACCTATCTCCACCCCACAACCTCTGGGATTACTGGAGTGCACTATACCACCATGCTCAGCTTTTGTGTGTGTGCTAATGATCATAACTTTTTTAAAATTTTTTATTTAACTTTTATTAATTTTATTCATTTTGTATCCCCCATAAGCCCTGCCCTCCCCCCCTCCCGGTCCCACCCTCCCCCCTTTTCTGCATGCATGCCCCTCCCCAAGTCCACTGATAGGGAAGGTCCTCTTCTCCTTCTTTCTGATCTTAGTCTATCAGTTTTCATCAGAAGTGGCTGCATTGTCAGGGTTCTAGGTTATCTCCATGAATAGTCCTTGGTTGGAGTATGAGTCTCTGTGAAGTTCCCTGTGTTCAAATTTTCTTGTTCTGTTGCT